TGTAACTTGAGTAAAAATTGAGATATCATGATGAAACTTGGTACACGTATTTATTGGCTCCATAAGAAGGTTAAGTTCGAAGATGGGCAAATCGGCCCACTGCCACGCCCACAAAATGGCGGAAACCGAAAACCTATAAAGTGTCATAACTAAGCCATAAATAAAGATATTAAAATGAAATTTGGTACAAAGGATCGCATTAGGGAGGGGCATATTTGAACTTAATTTTGGCGTGGCCCCGCCCCTTACTAACTTTTTTGTACATATCTCGAAAACTACTATAGCTATGTCGACCAAACTGTACAGAGTCGTTTCTTTTAGGCATTTCGATATACAGTTCAAAAATGGAAGAAATCGGATAATAACCACGCCCATCTCCCATATAAAGGTTACGTTGAAAATCACTAAAAGTGCGTTACCCAACTAACAAAAAACGTCAGAAACACTAAATTTTACGGAAGAAATGTCAGAAGGAAGCTGCATTCAGGCTTTTTTTAAAAATTGAAAATGGGCGCGGCGTCGCCCACTTATGGACCAAAAACCATATCTCAGGAAGTACTCGACCGATTTCAATGAAATTCGGTATATAATATTTTCTTAACACCCTGATGACATGTACCAAATATGGGTGAAATCGGTTCACGACGACGCCTGAAATCTCGATTATCACTTTATCATGCGAGAGTATAAAATGTTCGGTGACACCCGAACTTACCCTTCCTTACTTGTTGATATTTAATTTATTAATATTTTCGATTGCTTTATTTTATTTTCTTCACTTACTATATATTTCTCATCATACTTTTATCGTTTTACAAATTAGCTTATACTTACATAACATTTTAAATGCTGGTTTTCGTTGCTTAAAATTATTTATTACCAATGGTTTAAAGATAAATAAGTAGTACTTCCGACTAGATGCTGTTGAGGGATATTTACAATGAAGTGCAATGAACTTAGCCTAATGTTTTTTTCTGTTAATATAAATTTTAAAATATTTTCAAGTGGTAAATTAAAAATTTTCAGACAAAATTTTATGAAAAATATAAACTGTCTGTTTTCTTTGAAAACCAGTTTAGTTTGTATAAAAAAAAAACTATAACCTTATATTTATTATACTGTAAATAGGTATTTGATTACAAGTTATTGCAATATTTCATATTGCATAGCTCAACTAAGTTTAAAGTCCGAAGTACAGTTTAAATACGCATCAGTTGCAGATTCTTCAAAATCTGTGCGATGAAAAAATATTGAATTCAAAAGACCATAGTTTAATACGAGTTAAAAGAAGATTGCCAAGCAGCCCGAAAAGCTTGTGTGTGTTTGTGAATCCTCTGTAAAGCCTGCATTTTGCGCAAATGAACGGTAATGGAAAGCGTTTCATTAAGAATTGTAGAAGTGCTCAATTGGAAATTTAAAAAATTTAATAAAAACATGCTGGCAGTACACGTTATGTTTCTGGTGATGGACCCCCTTCTATTAAATTTATTTACTACTTTTGTATTGTTTTCTTCTTTCAATTTTGCTGCAAAGGTGCCGATCTCTTTGATTTCTCTCTCCATAAAGCTAATTGCTAGCCGTTCTGCAAGAGCGCTTTATTTTTCAAAAAACTCGGAGAACTGCCAACTCTACTTAAATATGTAGCACAGTCGCGTTAGTTGCTGTTGTCGTTTTGGCACCAGCCTCTGGGGCAGAATTGCTTGTAGTAGCTACGGTGTTTACAGTCTGTTGGGCTTGCTGCTCCTTGCTTTGCTCCATATTGACAATGACACAATCGTAGGGCGGTGGCGGAATTTCATGCTTCACCACCGTATCATAACTGGGCGGCAGGCTATCCAAGATGCGCAATATATCATTTTGTGTGTTGATCTGAAGAGAGAGAGAGAGAGAGACAGAAAGAGAGTAAAGTTTATTTTCTTTAAAAAAAATTTCCAACTGTTACTCACATGTGGCATGCCGCGTCCATCCGTGCGATTGCCCAATTCATCGATCGGTCCCGTCCAACAGCAGACGCTCAAGCGATGTGTGACATAACCGATAATGATCATTATTACCATCAGTAGACCCACGCCCAGCACAAATACCAACCACGGACTGTTGGTCATGTTTTGCAAATTCTTTTCCAATTGCAGTGCGAAAAGTATTAGCACCGGCACTGCAACAACACCAACCAGTATGTCAACAATATGACGTCGATCGTTGTTGCCATTTGCCAGATCGTTGTTGTTGCTGTTGATCATGTTGCTCAAGCTGGTGGTCGAGCGCACCGTGTTGATGCTGTGTGCGTGCAAAGCCATTCTGCAAATAATGAAAAGTAAAATATATTTAGTTATCATAATAATATTTAAAATATAGTTTTAATTTAGGAATATGAAAAATAGGAATTTAAATTTTATAAAAGCTCATTCTACAAGAACTCAGAAAGAAAGCAATCCAAACAATGTTGATTCATCTTCTCTAAAGTATCAACACTAAGTTCTTTTTCTTGCATCTTCGAGAACAAATAATAATGTTCATAACCACGTCATGTGTTTACAATATGTGATCTAGAATCCCCACTATTTTTTAATATCTTTTCTACATAACCTTAAAATTTATGTGGAAATCTGCTATCACGAAAAAATAGGTAGACGAAATAAAAAAACAGTTTGAAGCGTTTAGTGGGATTGTTTTAGATTATCTGAATTTTTTTTGTTTGTGGTTGTCTTCCGCATCTTCAAAGCTGTCATCACAACAATGGTATGTGCCATTTGCAGGTTACTAAAAACCCCCTTCTAAGACACCGTCGTCCATACTGGAACAACGTTTGCATTAACTCAGAGTGGCGTTCCAGTTTTTCCATTGGGGTATTTACATCTTCGCACCTGTGCCCCGCTTTTTTCGGCGTAGCTAATTTGCTGCGTATTTTTGGATAATCCTCCAGTTTTTCTTGTTCTCCAACATGACACCAATCAAATTGTCCACATTAATTGGGCCAAGCAGGTCTTCCACGGCGGTGCGTGCCCGTTGCCATCGCACACATTTAAAGAATTTGTGTTTATCGTCGTTATATAGACATGATGGTTCTTCTAGAGAGGATAGTAGATATGTTATGTAGAAGTGACTTCTCTAAATTTGCGATTTGTCCATAAGTCCACAGGTTTCTTCTTTCATTTGCTAGAAGGTCAATGGAAGCATTGCGGTGCGCTGCACTCTGGCCAATTCCTTACGCAGGTTTTCCATATTTAACATATCTGCCCAAATCTATGCTCCGTTTGGTGGTTGTTGACATTAAGCGCTTTCTATTATTTTGTGTGGGCACCCAAATATTGGCCATTAGTCTGATAAGATAAAAGGTGAATGTCGCTGCCAGAAGTTTAATCAGGGCTTTAGTCAGAACTCTAGGTAATGCATAGCTTGTTGTGTCATTTGCATGCTTATTACGAGAGGAATGTACTTTGTCGTCAGCAGTGGTAGCTTTGTGTTTTCTGTAGCGAACTGGAGTTTATGTGAGTCAATCTATGTTTGCGTCTGAATAATGAACTGATTCAGCTTTCTTCGGACTTCCTCTTTGTGAAGAGCTGTGATTACTGCTTTTATGTCGTTCGCGTAGCCAATTAAATATGATTCGCCTGGCATTTCAAGTTGTAGTATTCCGTCATAACTAATGTTCCACAGATCTGAGCCTAAATTGGACCATTGTGCTGCTCCTGATTTCCGGTATATAATTCAATGCGGGTAGCGATTCACTTTTAATGTCTTCAGTTTACTCAAAGCGGAACTAAATCAGGCGAATACGATGTTTGCGGTTGCACTCAAATAGTATTCCTTGTTGACAGTTTAGCCGGTCGGAAGGAATTCGGATTGCACGTCACCTCAATAATCGCAAAAAACTATCAACATAACCTTGACTTTCGACCTGCTTTGACGAGGTTCTTCGACTACGGCTCACCTTTATATTTAGTAACGGTAAATAATTATATACTTCTAACATCATTGAGTTTTATATAATATTTTGCAAAAACAACCAACTTGTACGTATTTTCCCACTGTAAATTGCACGTTTTATTGACACTTTTCGCCTTAAATTAATACTATGATTATTTTCCATTCCGAGTACTTACAACTCGTGCCTATTGTAGTGGTTAGTGCAGTGTTTTTCTGTTTATCTGTGTATCTTTGTACATTTTTCAAATGACTTGGCACTTGAGTGTTGTTTTTTTTGAAGCATTTCAGTTTTATTTGCTAAACAACAATAAGCTTATTTGTTTACGGCAGAAGCCAACTCATATGTGCCGTTAATATTGCTAAGTCTTTATTTGTCCAACCTTATCTAGGGTGCATATTTGAGGTTACTTATACGCCACAGTGTCATTTCCTTCCTTTATTAGCTTTATTTGTATTCTTCTCGACACCTATGTTATTGTTTTCTTACGGTAGTGCAATTAAAAACTTGTTACAAAATATTGCAAATAAGTGCTGGAAATAAGTTGGCAAAATATTGTTCTCAATAAATGTTTATTTTGTGAGTGAAACACTTGTAGATATTACAATAGAAACCTTAAGTAATGCATCTCTAGTGCCGCACACGTGGCATTGTAAAATTTGTTAATCTTTCTAGCACCTTAGTTGTTTGGCTATTGCGTCGTTATAGTTTTTTTATATGATATAATGCAATTTTTTTATCTCATATTTTATTACATAAGTTTAGTGGTTGGTTTGGTTTTAGATAGGAAGAGAGTTATACCTACTTATATACTTATATTGAGAGTCATTTATCCTTATATGGCGCATTTCAAGTGATTTTAGCTTGAATTAAGTTCATTAAGGGGCTATACCAGTGTGACACTTTAAAAAAAAATTTTTTTTGCTTTTTCGATAGTTTATATATTCAGAAATATCCTGTGAAATCGGCAAGGTCGTATCTTGCATAGTGTTTGAATGGCAGCGTTCTAAGCAGCGACCGCTCAGAGGTGCAAACATATACATATAAGTGAAACTTTAAACGCGTTTTTCTCGAAACGACATTTTGCAAAATTGCTGACATCATAACTCAACGAGAAATTGACCGATCGACACCAAATTAAAACTGGATATAGTTGAATACATTTGCTATACAGTGGACTACGATCTTTTTGATTGGTTGAAAATTGTCAATTTGGCATTATAAAAAACAACCGTTTTTTTTGTAAAAAAAAACGATTTTTTTTTTCAAAATAACGCCTTTTTCTTAATTTTTGATATTTTTCCAAGATTGTAATTCAATGTATAGCAAATATATTTAAGTTTAATAAACATTTTGAATTTTTTTGTTTCAGCTACTCATTCGACCGGAATCATGCCAGCAGTTGAGGCACTTTTTTTCAGCACTTCCGCAGACAGCACATAACTCTGTTATTTTTCAATATTTTTGTAAAAAAAAAAATTTTTTTAATATAGCTAAACATATATTTAATTACGACCATAGAACGTCGAAACATTCAATCTAGTACTTTATTTTAAAAAAATTCACGAAAATCGCCTAATTTTTCATGCGTCACACTGGTATAGCCTCTTAAGTGGATTCACATGCCATCCGATCGAATTTGATTCGGACTGTCGCTTTTAAACTTTGCGAACAAAAAGTTTGTTTGAAATTTTATGTTTCTAATGCAATCACGCCGATGGGATTGTTCAAATGTTGCAGACGTGTTTTGGGGGGTCTACTTTATCACAAACTCCAGTATTTGAGTGTTAGAAAGATCTCAGTAAAGGCCATTGAGTTATAGAGAACTTAGCTCTTACGAGTCGTCCAGCGACCTCTGACGATGTCATCGTAAAATAACAGAAAAAGTGCTTGAAAATCATAGAGATCACAAAGAATGTTAACAAGTCTTATTGATCGACTCGACACATTTTGGTTGATGTTTTGGGTAGGATGCGTGTCAAAGCTGTACTTGTACCAAAAGACCTATATGCCCCACATTGCGACGAAATATTTGGTCAAGCAGGAACGCAATCGCTTATTTATAGTATTCGCCAGGTTTGACACTCTGAATTTTTATACCCTGTTCAGGGTATATTAAGTTTGTCACGAAGTGTGTAACACGCAGAAGGAAGCGTCGAAGACCCTGTAAAGTGTATATATTATATAAATGATGGAGCTGAATCGATTTAGCCATGTCCGCCTGTCTGTCTGTATATATACGAACTAGTCCCTCAGTTTTTAAGATATCGCTTTGAAATTTTGCAAACGTCATTTTCTCTTCAAGAAGCTGCTCATTTGTCGGAACTGCCGCTATCGCACCACTATAACATAAAGTTGCCTACAAACTGAACGATCGGAATAAAGTTCTTGTCTGGAAAACAATCATATTTCACCATATACCTTCACGAAATTTTGTATGAATTATTGTTCATAGAAATAACGTAATATCGGAAAAAATTGTACATATCGGCTCACTGTAGCATATAGCTGCCATACAAAATGAATGAGCGGAATCAAATGCTGGTATGGAAAACATTTGCAGTTGACAAGATATATTCACGAAATTTGGTATAGATTATTCTCTAAGACAGAAATGTAATCTCCGAAGAAATTGTTCAGATTGGGTTACTATAGCATATAGCTTCCATACAAACTGAACACATAGTTACTAAAAGAAATGCACCTGCGAATGGTATATTAGCTTCGGTGCAGCCAAAGTTAACGTTTTTTTCGTTTGTTTTTGAAATTGAGAAATCTGTTTCGAGGAACACGTCGTGAGTCCATTGAAAATATTAAAAGTCAGTGGCAAATTGCATGTAACATTCGAATGCTTGTATTGGCTCAAAAGCACAACATTTTGAAGATTCTTATGGAATTTGTGAAAAGATTTTTTTTGTCAGTTTGATCAGCCTAAGTAGCCATTTAGGGTAGCTCTTTTGGCTAGTTTTTTCGGCTACCTTTTGGGTTAGCCATATAGAAACTACAAGAAGCATTAGCTTCTTTTACAACGTTAGCTTCGGAGTGGGGCGTGTAATAGTTGTGTACTCAAATGACTATCGAGCACTTAACTAAATATACCAACAACAACACGAAAAAAATTTATAAAAGCGCTCTAATTGAATTCAATTCAATTGAATGTAAATTCAAGTCATTCACCTTTGCTTTAATTGCAATTAACAGGTATTTAAGTCAATTGTTCGATTCGAATATATAAAAGTGAGACATTCGCGTGAACATACACACACACATATATCTGTTTATGTGCTTAGGTGTAAGATAATGCGCTCGTGAGATGCATTTTTTCGCAATTTGCGTGGTAATTGTTATTTTGAGAAAATAATCAGATAAACAA